TTCTAAATATGAAAAACATATTTTATGTATTCTTTCAACCCCCCCCCCCCCGGGTCCACCGGAAATTTTGAGGGCTTACATCGCTAAAAACCGGGTTTTGATACTTGTGGTGGGCACAACATAGATAGCCCATTGTGTAGCTTAATGTTTAACAAAAACAAACAAATCAGTGTTACCATGGTTACATTTTATACCAACCAAACATTCTTAGGTAAACTGCAACTTTTTTGAGTCATCAACGAAACGGACTCTAGATGGAGGTGTGTTTTATTTCATAACGAAACGGACTCTAGATGGAGGTGTGTTTTATTTCATAACGAAACGGACTCTAGATGGAGGTGTGTTTTATTCTATAACTCTCTGGATTTCAATATACACTTCCCTGTCGACAGAACGTGCTATAACACCAACGTTATTTAACGCTCTATAACACCATCTCTACTTAACGTACAATAACATCACCTGTACTTAACGTACTATAACACCATCTGTACTTAACGTACAATAACACCATCTCTACTTAACGTACAATAACACCATTTTTACTTAACGTACAATAACCCCATCTATACGTAACGTACTATAACACCATCTGTACTTAACGTACTATAACACCATCTGTACTTAACGTACAATAACACCATCTTTACTTAACGTACAATAACACCATCTGTACTTAACGTACTATAACACCATCTTTACTTAATGTACAATAACAGCGTCTATACTTAACGTATTATAACACCATCTATACTTATCGTACAATAACATCACCTGTACTTAACGTACTATAACACCATCTGTACTTAACGTACAATAACACCATCTTTACTTAACGTACAATAACACCATCTATACGTAACGTACTAAAACACCATCTGTACTTAACGTACTATAACAGCATCTGTACTTAACGTACAATAACACCATCTTTACTTAACGTACTATAACACCATCTTTACTTAATGTACAATAACACCATCTTTACTTAACGTACAATAACACCATCTGTACTTAACGTACTATAACACCATCTTTACTTAATGTACAATAACAGCGTCTATGCTTAACGTACTATAACAGCATCTATACTTAATGTACAATAACAGCGTCTATACTTAACGTACTATAACAGCATCTATACTTAATGTACAATAACAGCATCTATTAATTCCTAGTGTACAATAACACCACCTGTACTTAACGTACTATAACACCATCTTTACTTAATGTACAATAATACCATCTGTACTTAACGTACAATAACACCATCTGTTCTTAACGTACTATAACACCATCTTTACTTAATGTACAATAATACCATCTGTACTTAACGTACAATAATACCATCTGTACTTAACCTACTATAACACCATCTGTACTTAACGTACAATAACACCATCTGTTCTTAACGTACTATAACACCATCTTTACTTAATGTACAATAATACCATCTGTACTTAACGTACAATAATACCATCTGTACTTAACGTACTATAACACCATCTGTCCTTAACGTACTATAACACCATCTGTACTTAACGTACAATAATACCATCTATACTTAACGTACAATAACACCATCTGTATTTAACGTACTATAACACCATCTTTACTTAATGTACAACAACAGCGTCTATACTTAACG